TATATTTTACTGAGAACGTTAAAACTGCAAAAAAAGATGAGAAAAACAACCAGATTTGAACCAAAAAGTGCATATTTTCACCCCTTATTATTATACAAAATCAGGAATATACTTCCGGTAGGGTCTCAGCACCCCCATCCCTCCCAAAAAGTGAGATGAAATTAAATTTTCCCATTCAATCCTTGTGAAAATTCAATATCCCAACTCTCAATAGGTCTATTCTAATTTTGAATAAAGCAAGGATTTAACTTTCGTGAGCAGTGATAAGACTTTGGGGATTTTGAAAAAAAAATCGTATATGGGGAATGCGTTCAAAATTAACCGTCTGAGTTTCAGTAAAATAATGTCATTCTTGGAATGAGTTACAGCCATTTTACAGTAGATCATAAGATGTATATGTCACGTTCCATTTCTGTAATAATACATTAGGAGAGTATGAATAGCGATGAAGGATTTGTAGATAATATCCAGTATTTATTGTCTGTAAAATATTAAAATTGTCCTCATTTTCTTCCTGAAAGTAGGGGGGATGAAAGCCACCCCACCTCAATAAGTGTGGGGGGATATACCCCCATCCCCCCGCTATATCTACGCCCCTGTCAGATGAACTCAAATTTGACTTTTGATATGCATACAAATATTCATAATCATAATCTTTGTTAGCAGTACTCTACAGGCGCCGTGGAACGATTTTTGAAGTGGGGCTGCTCAATTTGTTACGCTCGACAGTGGCCAATGCAGGTTTTCGAGGAGGGTGGTAAGAAACAGGGGGGCGGGTATGCGGGTCCTCCCCCAGAAAATTTTGAATCCCCCATTTTCCTCCTGAAAGTAGGGGGGGATGATTGTACACGCCATCCCCCTAAGGTCAATAAGTGGGGGGGATGCATCCCCCTATCCCCCCCCCGCTATCTACGCCCCTAACTTTAACATCAGCTAGCTAAACCTGGCAATTACTGTCAGGTGTCGAAATAAGCGATGGTCCGGGGCCATCAAATAATCAGGAGGACCATCAGATTTTCAAAGTCAATGATCCGACGGACCATTGAATATTTTGGTCCCATTTTACGGTAATTTTCTTTGAAGTTTCCACGTGCAATATTCCAAGGATAGTGCGGATTATGTTGAAGAGGAAGATGAACAAATATTAGATAAGATGGACATGATGGAGTGTGCCAAGAAGGCTTATAATTGCTTGAATTAACTGCTTGACTAAAGGAATGTTAACTGTATTAAATGAATGAATGTGCTTCTAAGAAATATTTGAGACATACTATATTCCGGTGTTATGGGTTCAACTAAATTTTACTGAAACAACTTTATTAACCAATATACTATTAAAGTGAATAAACTATTACTGTATCGTTTAGTACATTCATTGTAGGTGAATAATTAAACCATTTTATCACCATGTAAAATCTATTTCTTACGCTTGCACGCCGCATTACTATTACTGATAAATAATAATAGTATTAGAGAACAATTTGAAATTTAGGAGGACCATATAAAATTTAGGAGGATCATCTAAATTTCAAACTAGATGGTCTTGTGGACCATCTCTTTTTTCTCCTTATTTCTACCCCTGACTGTGGTATCAATCTAGCACTATGATTATCTGTCAAAATCAATTTCGATTTGTTGCGGTTTGTTGACCAAAATATTCATAAGAAACCCGCTCCCAGCAGTGTTTATAGATTTCAGTGACTCGGTTCTATTACTTTATGCAACGGTACAGATGTAGGTGGCTAGTACAGGAATATAAGGATTTATTTGATCATATCAATAGATCGAACAAAACTGATATATTGAGTTACTAGGATAACTGTACTATTATTATTAAAAGCTCTTAAATTATTGTGATACCATGCCATAACCCTTGTAGGTTAGACAGCGCCTGTTTAAAACAGCGAGTTTTTGCGAAATGTATGCTGCTTTACCCGAATCTTGCAAACGCTCATTGGTATGGGTTTGAAGTCAAAATATAGGTCAAATTGTACGACTGGGGTAAATATAGACTGGGCGTACTCATTTGATATTTGTGTAAGCAGTCCCATACTATAATTTACACGGCGATGAATCAAGTCTACCGGCTGTCTATTTAACAATGTTACCACAAGATGATTCGTGTTTCGCGGACATGTGTTTTGATTGTTCAAATGAGCTAAGTCGTGTTTTTTGCGATGTACGATGTAATTAAATAAATAAAAAACAATAAAATATATAATATAGCTTTGTATATAACTATCTATTAAAATGTCATCGTACCGTATCATTAAATAGCATGACCGTATGATGGTATTATTTGGTGTATATCAATCGTAGTACTTACCATCAGGGATGCCTGATTGAAGTAATTTTTTTCAATAGCATAGGACAATCAAACTAGCCTCTAGCATACTTTAGACTACATTTTAAAAATCTGCTACTTTCTTTATGATAGCAGCAGTTATATTGTTACCAGCAGTGCAAACAATCGATTTATTAATTTAAATTTAATGATCAATATATAACCATATTTTTGGTGTAGTTCAATGGCTCTATTAGACATAGTTCTTATTTATTCTAGTTGTATGATTATTGTTTTATATTTTATTTTCAGAGCAACAGTTTAACAAGATGTTTATATACAGGTAAATTTGATATTAAATTATCTTGTAATCTTGCCTGGCCTGGATATCAATAGGTATTTATGAGCCACTTTACATAATTAAGAATATTAAACATGTACATACCAATTATCCATAGTAAAATTTGATTTAGTGTATACTTTGTTAACGTGCATTACAGGGCTGCCAACTCTCACGCATTGACTGTGAGACTCACGCATTTTGACCAAATCTCACGCTCTCACGCTGATCTTACAATATCTCACGCACAGCAAAAAAATGCTGAGTTATCTCACGCATGAATATTTCTTCATGAATAAAACGCTGAAATATCTCACGCACAGCAAAAAAAATCTTACAATATCTGAAAACAGTCACTTTAGTATGCACCAAATTGCACAAATTGAAGTTATAAAATGCAAAAGCTCCCTACCGTGGGAGGGGGAAACCCCTCCCCCCTCGGTCGCTTCGCTCCCTCGCATTTCACACTCACCTATCACCCAATGTTGGCAGCCCTGGCATTATTTATTGCATCAATTGTTCCAATGCAGTAGCCTTAAACCATTTATATTTTATTGGTAATTATAACTGACATGTGGTATTTAAAGGTTCATCTGTGAGTGTGATGTGAGATTCAAATTTCAAAATATCAATTGCTATTTGTGGAATTGTTTTGGCAACAATTAAGGACTTGGCAATACATACACTCTATTGATCGAACTAGAAACTAGTATGGAAATCATGTGGTGGCCAGATAGATTTGGTATTATTCTCAGATATTATGTTCTTTCAGGAACATATGACCAAAAAAATGCTGTCGATGGCCTGCATAACATGAGGTATGTCAGTTTATTTAGCCATTACTCTTATTTATTAAAATAAATAATCATGCTCAAGAAAGGGAAACAAACTAATGATGCTAATAGAACTTACAATGACTCTCTTTGTGAATCAGATAACATATATATATGTTAAGGGGAGAAGTAAACAATTGTTAGATTTGTGTGCGGACCCTAGGTTGATGCATTTGTTTGTGTTTTTAGAAAGCCCCGGTGTCATTTCACGCACAAATCAGAGCTGAGGTATTTTCGCACATCAGGCAAAGTTTGTAAGTATCTCACCCTGCAAATGCGTTGGTCTGAACAAGGCTACACAATAAAGAATTAGTAAATAACGAACGGATTCGTTGTGTATAACCAATAATTGTACCACCTGAAATAGTTTTTGTTCTTGAATGTTTTCTATCATTTGCCTTTATTTCATAAGACTGACAGAACCATACCCTTGTTACAAAAATTCCACATTGATATACTAAATCACTACTCTATTGGTTCAGCACTAATCCCAACGTTATTAAAACACCAAAAGAGTCCAAACACACCAAAATGCTGACTCAATGTTTGCACTGTTTATCACATCTAAAGTCTGGTTCTAACGTAGTGTATTTGGTGACACCACTGTCTTCAATTATCATTTTAGGTGGTGAGGTGCTAACTATGAAATGCCCAGCCTTTGCAGAGTCTATCAGCGAAGGAGACGTGAGGTGGGAGAAAGGTTGGTATATGTATTTCAAGGAAAGTGTGTGGCAGGAACAACAGCACCACCTGTAGTTGTAGCAGCAGCAGCAGCAGCAGCAGCATTAGCAACAGCAACAGCCACAGCAACAACAGTAGCAACAGCAGCAGCAGCACCAGCTGCAGCAGTGGCTGTGACAGTTGCTACGACAACCACATTGGCATCACGTTGAGATGCACACTGTCACACAGTTAGTCTTGTGATAAATATTTTGACGTTGAAATTTTACAGAGAATAATAAGTAGTTTTCTTTAAGGCCGGAGGGGGCAGATACAGTATTTGACGCGTTTAAGTGTTTAGATTATTCTCATGAAAATCTATATAATTTTCAGCTGTTGGCGACTTTGTGAATGAAAATGAAGCCATCGGGGAAATCGAAACAGCTAAGGTAAAATATTAATCTAATATGTGCTCCACATTGCATTAGCTTGCCATAAGAAACAGACACAGTCAATGTTGTGTTTAGTTTAGGGGTGCACCGGATCCAACTTTTCAAGTTCCGGCCGGAACCGGAACCAGCCGGAACTTGAAAAAGGTTCCGGCCGGAACTACCTGGCCGGAATCGGAACTTTAGCTGGGAATAAACTTGTCAGTTTTGGCCCAGTATTGTGCAAACTCACTCGCCCTGAACGAAATATCATTAGTAGGCACATCACTCAGGCGAGTAGGACAATTCTCGAAGTCCTAATTACAGGATGGTTGTTGGGTGTATGAATCTGCTGCTTACAGTGCATAATTTGCATAATTCTGGCATCTTATTCGCGAGCGAATTCTGTGGCAAAACCTGCATGTTGCACTATCCCTGGTTTTCGTCTATTATGTTTAACTAACAGACAAATGTCATTCCTGTGGCTCTAAGAGTATTTGATTTTGAAAGAAAATCTTATGAATCACCTAACATCAGTTAGGTTCAGTTCAGTTAGTTAGCCAATGTTCAAGTGGCAAGCGTTTTTTGGGCAGAATAGTGTGAAGTTGTTAACACTATATTGTCAGCAAGTTGACTCTATTGACTCTCAACTACATTCAGTGACTGATCTTTTAATCTTGATGACTCTTGTAGCAGAAATGAAATTAGGAAAAAGTTCCGGTTCCGGCCGACTGTTTCTGAAGGGTTCCGGCCGGAACCGGAACTTTGAAAAATTGGGGATCTGGCCGGATCCAAGTTCCGGTGCATCCCCAGTTTAGTTGACCTAAATATAGTGTTTATTGCATTCAGTCTAACTCGTCTTAATGGCCACCGCTATTGATTAGTGACCTGTTCATAGCAACCATAAAGAACCTGCTGAAAAATGTTGTGTTATTAGCTTCATACAGAGTAGCCACCTGCCCAAAGTGACCAGTGTTCGCTGTTTTTGTACTCCTCGCGTGGGCTTTAACTGCAAACCAAAGGTCATTTTTAAAGGTTTTGTCATCGTGCTATTAACCTTCAGTGTACGCTAGCTTGGCAGGTAACTTCCAAGCCATAGGTGGCAGCTATATGTTGCACAGATCTATAAACATTCAGTAATACTGATAACGATGACATGATTGTATTGAAAGTAATAACTATTAAGGATCGCGTTACTAATGATACAGCTGGCTACTATTGAGGGGGAATGTTATATATACAGATTTAACTGTATTTGATTTTAATTCTTACTTACTATAATGCCATTACTCACTTTGTAACTCATTGATTAGGCCTACTTAACAAACAAGTTTTTATATTGGAGTAATCACTAAATCACCAAAAACCTTTTATGTGTAACAGACATCTATCCCAGTCCTTGCATCGAAGTCTGGAGTTATCATGGAGTTCTGTGTAGAAGATGGTGCTACTGTCACCCCTGGTGATGATATATATAAATTTGAGCTGAAAGGTAACAATTCTTCTTTTGTTTTAATTCCAGTATTATTACTTTAGTTTTAGTACTATTAGAATATTAGATAGGGACTATTTTGTTGATACTGCATATTTATAGATATGTTGCAATCTTAACTGTAAAAAAATTTGTTTTTTATACTAGAATAAAACTGAGAGAAGCATTATTTTCAGTTAAATTTGGTTTTATTTTAGCTGCACAAGGCTTATGAATGTTTACCTTCCAATATAAATAACAACTATACTACTATAATAGAATAAATAATGTATAATTTAACTAAAAATGCTAAAAGCACAAATTCCTTTTAAAAAATTCTTCAAAATGGCCATTAATGTGACTGAACAGCATTTTCAGTGTGTAAATTATACTACCAAACTTCGCAAAATTTTCTGCAAGTGTGGATAGTGAACTTAATGTTTAATTTCACTTATCTACCCGTGGGTGCTAATAAAACACCTAGGATGTAGCAGGCATGATGCTGGACATCAGTAGTTCAACTTGTATAAAAAAAAGTGCTGGCGCAGCTGTACCTGGGCAATGTGCGCGAATCGGCAACACTAGGCGACCACTTACTATTGACTGGCATAATTACAGAAGGATCTGCACCACCTGCTGCTGCACCAAAGCCAGCTGCTCCAACGCCAACTCCTGCACCTGAGCCAAAAATGGAAGTACCAGCTCCTCCACCCCCTGTCAGTATGCCACCACCCCCCGCACAAGCCGTGGTACAAATCCAGGAGGCTGCGGGCCGTATTCCGGAAGCTCCACCAAGCCCTCCTCCACTACCCCAGGCACCAATCTCCTCCATACCAGTGTCACAGCTGATGCCTCAACATGCAGCACCACCACAGCAACAGGTGCTCAAGGCTGGGAAAGCACCGACCACAATTACGGGTACAAGGACAGAAGCTAGGGTAAGCAGAATAATGTATCGCAGTGGCTACGCGTCCGGTCATCCATTACAACACAAAGCTCAGCACAGATTCCAAATCCACGTCATGATTAGGCCACGCCCCCAAAATCGTCAAATCGTCGATTTTACGGGATTTACTAATGCTTCAAATGTTACAAAAACACATCTTTTTGATAAAATACCTAAAGGTAAGTAATATTATGGTAAAAACTTGTTGTTTATTGTTTTTTTTACTGGAAAAATATAGGTGGGTTCACATAAGAAATATATGACCGGACGCGTAGCCTGGGAGCTGGGCGACCGGTAACCAGACGCGTAGTCCCCGGCCATAATGTATGGTGCACAAACTCACAACTGTGTGACGGTTAGTTCCTAGGGTGACTTTTTGCTGTGGAAGGTGTAGTGATGGAATGGTTGGTCACTAGGATGAGTGGTGGCTGTATGAGATGTAGCAATGGAATAATTGGTTGCTAGGATGATTGTTAGTGCTACGAAGAGTATGCATGGGACAGTAGGTTACTAGGATGAGTGGTAGCTGTAGCAGGTGTAGTGATGGAGCAGTTGTTGCTAGGATGAGCATTATCTGTAGGTGTGATTCTGCATTTGGTTGCTAGGGTCAGTGTTATCCATAGGTGTCAGGGTAAAAAATACACAGAAGCGATGAGCGATTCGCTCATCAAACCTCCAAAATCGCTCTCGTGACGCTCAAAATAGCTCCCGTAAAATTTGTGACGACAGCTATTTTTCCCACAGACTTGAAAAAGAGCTCCCGTGAAAAAAAAGTATTTTTTTCCTGATAGACCTGTGTAGACTGTAGTGATGGAATGGTTGGTTGCTAGGATGAGTGTTATCCATAGGTGTTGTGATGGGTCAGTTGGTTGCTAGGGTGAGAGTTATCCATAGGTGTTGTGATGGATCAGTTGGTTGCTAGGGTCAGTGTTATCTGTGAGGTGTTGTGATGGATCAGTTGGTTGCTAGGGTCACTGTTATCTTTGAGGTGTAGCGATGGGAAGTTTGCTTACATAAGCATCTTGCTAGATAATGATACTAAACATAGTTTGCTATCTTACGCTATACATCAAGAATTTTACCATTTTGATAATAATTATTGATAGTTTTTGAGACCGAATGAGAAAGCATGCTGTCATGTAGACTATTCTTAGTCAAGATGACAAATGGTAAAGGTTTAAGGCAATGTGTTTAAATTCGTTTTAATAGGTAAAGATGTCCAGAATGCGACAGAGAATTGCTGAGCGGCTGAAAGAGGCACAGAACACGACTGCAATGTTGACAACATTTAATGAAATTGACATGAGGTGGGAATGAAACATTTAAAATATTTGACTGATTGTCCTGCAAAGCAGGTACTTCTCCTAAACAAATTTCTTTGAGCTTGTAATATTAAATTCTCTGGTGATCTCTGAGCCTATTTATTCAAACAATAAATCTTGTGCACAAGGGTATAAACATTTCTTCGCACTGAACCTTTATAATATGTTTAGCCTATGGTAATCGCTTGCATTGTGTAATTCCCACGTGTTTACTTAGCAACATCTTTGGGATGAGGAACCAGTATCGTGATGCCTTCCTAAAGAAGTTCCATGTCAAGCTAGGATTCATGTCTGCCTTCGTGAAGGCATCTGCGTCTGCACTGCAGGAACAGCCGGTGGTGAATGCTGTCATTGATGGCAAGGAGATTGTGTACAGAGACTATGTTGACATCAGTGTGGCGGTGGCCACTCCAAAGGTAGTGCTGGCACAAAAAGCCATCTTATTGTTTAAGTTTTCAACAAAAACAGGAGTTTTCCCCCTTTCAGGTTTTGTAAAAATAAGATAAAAAGTATGAACTGTGCTGAGATATGCATTGCTTTGATCATTATTTGATATGAATGGATATAGGAAGGTTCAATTACAGAACCCTTTTTTAGCAGTGCAAACTAATGTAATCTGTATCATGGTGTAATCAATTTGATTGCTTCACATCAGGGCACTATAAAGGTTAGGCGTGAATTCTGTTAAATTCTTCCACATCTACGTTACTTAGCCTAATTGTTACGGTAATATCAAACATAAGTGTTACCGGGGACAAGCATCGGTGCACTGCCATAGCATTGCATTGCTTAGCACTGGTTAAATGGGTTGGTGTTCCCGGTGACACTAATCCCCTATGAAAGATGTCTCATTTTTCTCTTGTGATTAACCAAGTGTTGTTAAAAAGATTTAGTTCATAGCCTCGTAGGAGAGAAATGTACGTCCATATTCATGGCAGATGCCCTAGGTGATGCACATGGTTGGGCTGCCAAACTTCTTGCCTCTTTCTAACGGTGTAAACAGTATTTTATATTATCTTTGATAACGTGTTTCTTTTGTAGGGTCTGGTTGTTCCTGTCGTTCGAAATGTGGAGGGCATGAACTTTGCTGATATAGAGCTGAATATCAACGAACTCGGCGAAAAGGTAGGGAAATGCTGAGCGATTTGTTTATTTAATCTATAAAGAACAGTAATGAGTGTGTTACTATTTAGACATTTTTTGTAATATGTAGTGTCAATGGGAGTCGATTTTTCTCAGCTCTACGATTCTCTTACCCCACATTTCCCACAGTTTCATAACCCATCTAATATGTATCTGCGTGCACGTATGCATGCTGGTGCAAGTGTCCCTAAGTTGCAGAGTGCTTGTGTATAAGATGTGTATGTTCGTAATAGGCACATTATTTCGCGTTACTTACAGGCACGCTCAGGCAGTCTGGCAGTGGAAGATATGGACGGAGGAACGTTCAGCATCAGTAACGGTGGCGTGTTCAGGTCTTTGTTTGGTACACCCATAATCAATCCCCCACAGTCGGCCATCCTTGGCATGTATGGAGTCTTCGACAGGCCAGTGGCCATCAGTGGAAAGGTGACATTATTACTCTGATGTGAAACCCAGAGGAAATCTCTCAAAATTTCTTGTCCACGTTCATAGAGCGATTCATATATATTGGTGTGATAAAAAACAATTAGGGTTTCCTCCCTGTTAGCATTTACTCATGTGTAATGAAGTTGTGTGAACTATTCCAAAATTGAGTCCAGGTAGATGCAATTTTTAATAGTCATCCACTTGAGTGAGTTTTCGCACTCCAGTGAGTTTTAAGAAAAAGTGTGTATGTCTGCACTATCAATTCTGCTAACTTCCTTTCTGGCTCTTGACATTCCTGGCCAATCACCTAACTAAACCTAAACTGTGTTTTCCATGTCTGGGGATGGATGCATCGGGTGACTGCAAACATGCGTGACTGTTTGCACCTAAATGGCACAACTATTTGCAGGCACAACTGTTACAGGAACAACTATTTGCAGGCACAACTGTTTGCAGGCACAACTATTTGCAGGCACACTATTTGCAGGCACAACTATTTGCAGGCACAACTATTTGCAGGCACAACTGTTTGCAGACACAACTGTTTGCAGCAGGGAAAAAATAAAATGTATTTTTTGGGGGCTACTTTTCAAGCTCGCGTGCATGAAAATAGCACTCTAAAATTTGGTTTGCATTGAACTCTATGCAAATTTTCGGGGGCTTTTTTGGCATTTCGGGGGCTAAATCGCCCTGAGCCCCCGTGTATTTTTTTCACTGGATTGCAGACACAACTGTTGCAGGAACAACTATTTGCAGGCACAACTGTTTGCAGCTTAATGCGCGTTTCAGCAGACTGACTGCTCATCATTATATCGCAGGTGGAAATTCGTCCCATGATGTACGTGGCACTGACCTACGACCACAGACTCGTCGACGGTAGAGAGGCGGTGCTCTTCCTTCGCAAGGTGAAGTCCTGTGTTGAGGATCCTCGTACACTGCTGCTAGACTTGTGATTCACAGGTAGAGACACTGAGCACTCACTGTTTGACGGCACAGCTTTTTTTTTATACCACATCAACTCACAGAAAAATAGTTTTCCCGTTCTCCGAAAGCATCAATTAGCATTTTGGTACGCTCATAAACGACACTATTGTGCCTCAAGAGCAACAAAAACTTGACTGTCTTACTCATTAGAAGGAAATCGAACGGTTCAAATTTCGGTAGCTTATTTTTTATTTAATAATGCACATAAGCACTATATATAAAAGTTTAGGTCCATTAAGAAGAGCGTTTAGTTTATGGTTTTAATATTAAGCTCTTGCACCTCTGATGTCATTGAGGCAGCATGATGAGGGTCTCTGTCTAACTGAATCTACAGGTGTACAATGTAGTCAACATTGCATGTACAGACCTATCGGGTTGCAATATCGATATCAGCAGCATTCAAACGCTTCAGGATACCATTGAGAATACCTGCTGCACTAATGCCATTAGAAATTGATATAGCTATCGTATTAATGTCACATGCCATTAACCTGACCAAATTCTCACTACTGGCTGCTCGGTAGTTAGTTGTTGCTCTATGCTAGATTTTGTTTGCCATTTCGGAGTAGATACGACCCTCTTTTTTGGAATCAGCACAGTGTGAGAGGTGGTAGGTGTAGTATTTTTGTGGAGTAGGTGTAGATAGCTTGTATAGTGGATTGCTTAAAACAGTATAATATCATAATAACACAATAATAGCATTCACTGGTACTAATAATGCTGCGAGTTATTTTAAAACTTGATATCAGTAGTTTCCTGCTCAATATTGTGGGTGTTTTCAACATTATATTGCTTTAAATGTTTGATACATATTCACAAGAAAGAGTTGCACATCTATGGAAGTGCATTTGTAAATGTGTTGTACCATGTTGGCTGGATTTCACTTAGGTGTAGTAAAGCAATTTCAATATATGACCAGTGCATTGGGGTGCTAGTGTACACTCCTTCCTGTGCATCTAGCCATGGCTGCATGTGTTTTTCTCATGGGTATGCCAGCACAGCCATGTTCATGCCCCTGGTACGTTTCATTAGGGTTGTGAGCTCACGATTAATTTACCTGGAGAACAATATTTTTTTTACTAAACGCACCAGCTGCTATCCGCACACACATGGACAACTCGTTGGCTGTTGAGAAAGTCTTTTTGTAAAAGTGTACCGCATGAATGTACACAAATGGAGTTCACAATCAATTTTCACACTCTTTTCAATGAGGCATGTGGCATCTGCTATACTATGTGGGTATAAATTATATATGACGTGATGTCAGGTTGGAGTGGGGATGTTTGTTGCAGACTTGTTACGGCAGTTATTGTATGACTATAGTCATTTTAAAATGTTAGTAAATAAATCATTTTGTTTTGTTTCCCTTATTTGAAAAATGTCTGTCTTCATTTAATTACCTCCGCCCACGGAGTGGAGGAGGTTATGTGATCGCTCTCGTGTAGTGTGTTAGTTCGTTCGTGTGATCGATATTAGCGCGTCGAGTCAGCAGCAGGCCAGTCAGTCAGCTGCAGCGAGCGGCGAGCCAGCTCGTAACACATACATGTTACATGGGGCGTATGGCGCATGTCGCTGGCGGAGGTATGCACTCCCTCTGTCTAGTTGTTATTAATTTACACACCATAACTAGTTCGGGAAGCTAACTGGTGGCGTATCCCCTGCTTCAGCCTTTGTGTTGGTATCAAGCCATGTCACGTGTTTTTACCTAACACTGCCTAACGTTAATAAACGTACCTGCTAGCATATTTTATTCTTGGATAGAGGTGATTGAACTTGGCTGCTCCTATAAAATCGAAGTATTCAGTGCTTTGTATCGGCCTTTTTACCCAAATCTTTGCTAAGGTTACTCTGAGTTGCCAACCGTGTCTACTAAAATCTGATTGATGTCTGATACAAAGTTTGCCGTGTAAACAGTGCAAATATCTGATGTCTTTTACGTCTGCCAAAATATTTAATGTCTGCATTGTGACTTACTCGCGACCAAAAATGACCCCTGCACAGGTTGTTTTAACTTGTATTGGTTATTATACAAGCACTCAATTCCAGAACTATTAATAGCATAATAATATAACAAGACAATATTATCAACGTATTCATTATAATTCATTAATAATAATAACATAGTATAAACACTTGCAGTATGGTTAGAAAATACAGCAGTGTTGTTATTCACGTGCTTCCTCGCTTCAGGATTTGTTTTATAGCAGTGCAATCACTAATAGCCCGTTTCAAACTGCGTTTAAACAATTAACAAAATTTAAAGTTTACTGCCTAACCCTTTTAATTTTTCACAAATAGATATTTTTCACATTGACATCATTGTGGCTTTGCAGACCACGGCAGCTTACAAGATTGTAACCCTAGCAGATGGCAAGGCTCCTCTATCCATATTAACTATAACAGTCATAACAGCAGTCGCCATATGAATATAATACATTGTTGCCCAAAATAACGATCTTGTCTGCGAAATGCAAAAGTTTTTATTCACAATTTTTTCTATTGAAAACACATTTAAACACATAAGATCAGGAGTCTATCAATATCCTAATTATCCTATTATCTCCTGATAAGATGATCTAGAAATTTCTGAGAAAACACAAATTTACCCTTTGTCACACATACCCTTAAATGCCACACATGACCTTACAATTACAGTCATGTACAATACAAATACACTGCCTGGGCTACAAAATTTTAAATAAATCACATATTTAATTATCGCACATTTTGTGGTGGTAATTACTGTTTAAAACAATACTGCTAAAATAGAAATATTGAAATTTGTAGATTTCATGTACAATGATTACCCGCTCTATAATCACCCTAGACTTTTACTTACTCCCCTTACGATAAATATCTATATCATACCTCCAATTACAAATATTTAGTTGTCACTATTAGTAGGCCTAGCGATCTTCGCTGGAATGCACACATTGATTATATTTGTAAGAAAGGATCTCATTCTTTTGGTATGCAACCTTAGCTTTGCCAATTCTATAACTCGATCCCTGGCTAACTACGGTTCTCCCCATATTAGAATAGGCTATGCTATATATGCCTATGCTTCGTCAGGCTGGTGCCTCTATACGGATCATAACTGTTCTAAATTAGATGTCACTTGGCATCCAGAGAGACATGATACAAGATTGCGTGGCACAGCTTTGCTGTTGATCCTGCGCGCTGCGCGCGGATGAGACGCGCAGTTCCGCGGGATATGCGCACGCGACCGCAGGGATGTTCAAGTATGAAGCGCTGTCCGCAGTGGAGACGTGCGCCAAATTCGAGGCCCGGCGCACGTCTCCACAGCGGTCAGCGGATGGTCTGTAGTTTTAGAAGATGACAATGATTATATGGACGATATTCTAGAAATTGGAGATTATAAAACAGTAACAAAATTGCTCAGTCATGCTCGAGATTAGCCACAAGTTCCATTCTCGCTGAACACTACATTGGCTACTGTTCCTACGACGTGTAACAGTCGGAGAGCCCGGTCGGTTTAGCCCCAGATTAGCTGAATCAAAAAGATTAGAATTTAATATATGAACAAAACAAATATAATAGTTATATAAAATTCACAAACAAAGAAAGGATCGAGGGGATTAATAGGCAACCAAGTAATAAAAAAATGCACCAAATATTCATACCTAGGGGATTTAATTAATGATATAGGAGGTTATAACGCTATGATAGCGAGTCCGAACTGAAAAATGTAGGTTAAGGGAAATAATTATTATGGGCAAAGGAGCAAAATTGTGGAAATCATACTATAGAAGCAAGAGTGAAATTATGCGAATACACAATTTTACCTTTCTTCCTAAATAACAGTGAAACATGGACTAACTTAACTAAGGAAGAAGTAAACATGTTGCAGGATATCCAAAATGATCCAAGAGATGGCGCTGTGGCATGTAAACATTGGCTCCCGAAGCGAGGTTTTTTTGCCGAAATGTTTACTGAATGACGCACTCGTTGACTTGCGACAGCGAGTGAAAATGCAGAAATTTTTTCTCTTCGATGCGAAATGCATCGGCCGGGCATTTCATTATTTACGAAAAGTCAACGGGCTGGCAGTACGTACAGGAGTCAGCTCACGTCATTGACGCCCCATTCATGCCTATCGACAAATAAGGCGGGGCTTATTGTGCCTACAGCTATGCGAAAATGAAAGAAAAGGACTTAGCACTGTGCGCAAAACAGCGTGTTATATTCGTATTTGTGCCAAACTCTATCGTATAAAATCGTTCTAGCCTAGCAGAATGCCCTAGTTCCTGAGATCGGCGATTCCATGCTCTCATAGCTATGGTACCTAAAAGTTATACGAGGGAGGCGCGGCGTAGACTGTGATTGGAAGACACAAAGTGTCAATCCTCGGCGAGCCTCAGCATCATGGCCGCATCACGTCAAGCGTGTGAGATGGGTATCCAAAAAAACCATTATGATAGTTCCGCAGTTGTTTTGACTCAGCTTAATTGGCTTCCTCTTCGTATCCACTTTCTTTAAATGCAAAACTTGTAACCTTTCATAAAATTGATCATGGTCAAGTGAATATTCATATACAAAAAACACCTCATTTAAATTGCTTTCGACATGTACTTCTGTTTTATTTCTGTCATTCCATATTCATTATTGGAATATTTTTCTTTAGTTAATTGTGAAATTGAAGGTTTTTCTACTGCAACACCCAGTGTTGATCTTTCTATTTGATCGACTTTGTCTCTCTCCGTTTTCGACTCAGACTATCCATAATCCTTTGGGCTTTGTAAAGTAACCTTTATGAGGTTTTTTTTGTGGTACCCAATGCCACCTATTGTTGTAACGCAGCAGTACTCCACTTATATAATAAATATGGAAGCTGTCAATAACTAACTGGTCATCTAGGACTTTGCTCCACACAACCCACAAATAATTGGGGCTGTTACAAATACGATGGATTTCCAAGTGTCAAGAATAGACGTGTCCCCGTTTAAAAATCTCAATTGGGTTTTTTTGTGCGTGTCTTATCTGATATAGAGATTACGCGAATGTTACCAACTATTAAAATCTATTCATAACATAAAAAAATAAATTAATTGTATTGGTTAAAACCACTGCTTGGATCAATATCAAGAAATATCATTTTATAAAGGTGGGTAAAGTTCCAGCATGCAGATAAATCACATACATTTTGTCAAAACATATGATACTGGTCCTGACATTGTGTCATGAGGTAAAAATGTCGGTGAGCTGCTTCATGCCCCCTCACATGTTGACACTATGCAACAAGACTCAAATCAAACGGATGTAGTACATTTAAAAGGCTTCAAAGGAGTCAGACACAGAATTGACATCACTAGCCCTCACGAGCTCTGTTGTTTCCGTGGAAATGCTTCTCACAGCTGTCTTCTTGAACAAGTCAGAGAACACAAATACCTGAAATAAGATAAATTAAGATTTATATAGAGCCAGAGTATATTTACAGGCATGGATACTATATTAATTTTTTTGAGAACAGCAAGTGTTGGCTTTGGTCTAATCAGAAATTTAAGGGCAGTGCTGCATGTTGAATATGCAAGTCCATTAAAAAGGCATTATCAAGGCAACGTAATTTTTTACCACTTTTTACGTTGAACAAAAGAGACATAAGATGTAATGGCATAATAGGCAGCCATGGCTGTCTTTATTGCCATGGATATTGAGAAAATTTTCAGGGCACTATGGTAAGTAGAGGGCAACCATATGGCCCAGTCACATATACACGACGCACGGCCCACGCACTGAAAAATTTGCAATTTTGGCCAGTGTGTTGTCTTTCGCTGAGTGTGCATTAGCATTCGTTACTCGTTCGTCGACCGCGCTGGACCAACGCTATGCATTCGTTGTCATTCGCTGTGTGCGTCGGGATTTTTGTGCATGCACAAAAATGTGTGCGGAGCTCGACGCATGAATGTACACGCCAGAAGGACGCCAGACACGCGCAGAGCGCGCTGGACCAATGCCAGACACACGCGGAGCACACGCTGGGTATTTGTTGTATGTTCGTCGGCTGAGGTGTAGCAAACACCTAGCGCACACCTAGCGTGCTTCTAACGCATGTCCAACGAACATGCAGCGAATATGGGCGTGCTGAACGAGTGCTGAACGAGTCTGTAGCGCGTCCAGCGTTCTTCTAGCGTGTTGCTAGCGTGTACGCAGCGTGTAGCCATGGGGTATATAAACGGGTCCCGCCCCCACCTCCTCATCATCACTTCTCCTCCGACCCTAATGGGTGATGACAGCGGTTCCTGCTAATCGTGTCTAGAAGAACCACCTCAGAAGATGGAGGATCCCGACAGGCTGCGACTACAATACGAAATCGCGGTTCTCCAACATCACCAGAACCTTATGGAACTGGCACTTCACCAAGTCCACGTCATCAGGAGAAGGAGAAAGAGAAGAGGTCAACGGAGGTTCTGGGTCCGACCGTGGATCGGTAGGCGACGACAGTTTGGCCTGTATGACCAGCTACTTGTTGAACTCCGTAACGAAGACCCGGCAGCCTTCAAGAACTTCATGCGGATGCCCCCGAGATGTTCGACAAGCTGCTAACCAGAATGGGTCCGAGGATCACCAAGCAGAATACAACCTACAGAGAGGCCCTCGACCCTGGCCTGAAGCTTGCCCTCACTCTGGGGCATCTTGCCTCTGGGACCGAGTATCACTCAATGTCCTATGGGTGGTGGGTGCCTCACAACACCATATCCCTGACCTGTTTGTTCGCTGACCTTACCGTTCGCTGGCTGTGCGTTGAATGCGCGGTGCATGCGCAGTGCATGCGCGGACCATTCGTTCTGTGCGCTAGCAACACGCTGTGCATTCGTTGGATTTTTTAACATGTGCGCCCTGTATACGCTCTGTATGTGCCCTGTATACGCGCAGCGCGCTAGCAACACGCTGTGCATTCGTTGTCAACTCGCTAGCTTCTCCCAAATCCTGACAAAAGTTGGGCGCACAACGACGCACTGATCTGATTTTCCATTTTTGGATTAATTTTCAATGCGCGGGCCGTGCATCGCGTATGTGTGACTGGGCCATAAGGAAATTAAAAAATTTATTTTTCACTCAAGGTTATGAAATCCCACTTCTATTTAAAAATAATTCTATTTAGCTGCTAATAATAATAGCAGTTGCCGTCGGTGTCACAGTAAAATTTGAGCCTTGCAGTCACTTCACTGCAGAATCCGCAATACAGTCTAACATAGCCAGAATTAAATCTTGCATGCAGGAAACTGGTAGTGAGCTGCAAGCGTGATGAAAATATTGGCTTGGCGATGTATTAATACAACTACGCTGAGCTAATAGCTGCTAGACGCGTCACATCAACGCATTGACTAGGTAGTTGATGGTAACCAACATAACTGCAGCATTGTGCAGGTGCACACTTACAGCAATGATGGCAACACATATGCCCTGGATGGACCCGGCCAGTACGTCGCTCCAGTGATGCTTGTAGTCTGAGATGCGTGACAGAGCTGTGCCGTAGGCAAGGAACAACGCACACACCTGCAGTGTGTATTTAAGTAGACGACTGCCACTCCATGTCATGCGCGCTTGCAGATACAACTGAAATGCACGATGTAAAATCAAGATTTTCGACGTCATTGATTTACAGTTAATGCAATTTCTAATTATAAACAGGCTTACTAACTAAACTAAACGTAACTATTAAGAACATCAAGAGCAGCAATGCAAATTTAAATGACACTTTCTCTACAATTATTATTAAATGACAATACTCCTGGTTAAGAATATCTTGCATGTGCCATATATTTATTTTAGATAAGGAGCAATTTCCACATAAATTACCATTCATTTAGGTACCTATAGTTACTATAAACCAAGTAAATACATAGATACAGGCTGGACATTACTAATCCAAATTATGCGATGGTTTGGCGGCATCGACAATTTGAATCAGTTCGTCATTAGTTTTTATTTGCTTTACCTACAAATATGCTATATATGTCATATAGTACAGTAAATTTGTGCTACCATAGTATAGTAAAATTGTGCCACAGTACTAATACTTGCTTATAGTGGTCCAGTAAGCCTGTGCTAGGTTTATGCTAATTGTATTCGTATCAATAATAATGCAGTATATGCATTATTTTGCCTTTTTAACCTCAGCTTTGTTTGTTCTGAATTTTTGCTAATCTGGAATTGGTATGACTTCAAGCTTTCCGGATTAATGAGGTCCAACCTGTATTTCATATTTATTATATTTTATATATTTTCATCTTGGACCTTTTGGTTTGTATTAAATTTCAAAAACTTACGGCAAAATACAGCATGCAGTAGAAGGCAAGCGATGCATGGCCAGACATAAAGGAAAGCCTGCAAACAAACAATAAATGAAATCAATATTTTGAATTGTTTTTCATTTGGAAAAATCTAAAATGCATCTATTGATAAACCAATTTATTTCTATTTTCCTTGCAACTAAATAACTAATTTCATCATAATCTAAATGATAATTATAAAAACGTTGCAGAAAAAATAGAGAAAAAATGACATTAAATTAGGAAATGAAGGCACTACCACAATTGTTCTAGATATTTGGATATATGTATCTTCCACATATATACAGCTGACATATACAATGTATACTGCAGCACCTGGCCTCTCTTATTAGTTCATGATCTTCCCCAGTGCAGACGTCTGCATCAATGTACTGCATAATGCCATCCTTTATGCATTCAAGCTTGGTGAAGTCGGGTTTGCACACGTCAAACCAGTGTGGCCTCAATCTCCCAACCATATACTTGGCTATATCAGTGGTGGTTTGGCTAACGGCAGCGCCAAACAAGAATGCTCCTATAACACACAGTATACTAGCAATGCTAACAATGAAACACAAGTTGATGTGAAAGCGTTCATGAGTACATGGCGGTAATCATAGCTGCAAGTAAAATGCTCGTAAAGGCAATTTACAATGACCAAATCTTTTCAATGACAAGTCAATATGAAAAGGCGCTAGTAAATGCTTATTTATAGTCTACACTGGTTCATTAAACATAAACATATAGGGATAAGATTATAGGATAACGATATATTTTCTTCTAAAATCATACCTATAAATTTATAGTTTATCCACAGGTAGGAATGGATGACTTTCCCACCCACCATATATCGTTTGCATGGTATGTTTCGCTTACGCTTTGTCTGGTAAAGAAGAGCTTCACAGACCATAATCTAAAAAAAGGAAATGTTTTCATTGTTCATTAAATTATATTACAGTTCGCAGTTGAACTCTCGGCGGTCAATAGACTCGTGTATACAATGTTTTTCAGAAATGTGTTAAATATGGTAACTTGTTCTTGCTATGAAGAAAATATATCTATATAATCAGATATAATCATACACGGTTTTATGTAGAATTGTATATAAGAAGATGACTACCACTATTTCCATATGTGCATTAAAGTCATATAATAATTATGAATAATAAATTATAATAATTTATTGATTTATTCTGTGCACGGTATATGAAAATGTTCACGTAAAATACAATATAATAATCATGAAATATAAACAGGAATACTCCTGATATCTACTAATAAATTATTGTGTAGATAGAGCGACAGAAATCTGCGTAAGCACCATGCAGTGAAAATTCACACAATAATAAACAGTACAGTCAAACCAGTATATAATGACTACTTCGGGTAAAAAAACAGAAATGGCGTTTACAGAATTAAGACTTTTCTATGGAGATAGGAAGTATATATATATATCACTACTGCAGCGAGTACTGCTGCATCTAACGTTCATCAGGTGAGCCAACAACTGGTAGCCATGGTGGGTGGGTGGTTGGGTGATTGGGGGTGCCACTGTGTGCACTTAGCACCTGCTCGAACGTAGTGCTATCTTTGTAGACTGCATGCTCAAATCACTTGAGTGAAGAGTGGCCACGTTTAGCAGGTGGCTGCTCTTTACATTAACTCTCACACATTTTCTAATTGGGAGGTTTTTTCTGAATACTATGAACATGTGACTGTTCTTTATAGCCACGAACACTGGTTTGACTTTACTATGATGATTAAATCGAGGCAAAGAAATAAACAAAAGATAAGAGTAAGCAAGTCACAATAACCTAATTCAGAAACCATCAATAAAACATGCAAATGCTCACATAAGCTTGTTAATCAAGATGCCAATTAAAAAAGGATGTTAATTACGTAAAGAATTATGGTTATAATTGGAGAGTATTACGTTGTAAACACTATATGACATCTTACTGCCATGCACATAACCACTCAAGCTAACTCCAGACTTGCTAGCCAGATGAACTAAAACTAAACACAGGCAAAATGTGTGCCATCCAACATCAAATTTCTTCATAGATAGAGTAGAAAATCTGACAAAGGGCCAACGATTATGAACTGGAACATTAGTTTAAATTTTACATTTTACTAATAGTTTCAGTTACATTGCATTATGCATGCATTTATTGCAAACAAAAAGTCGATCAGTTAAATAGTAGTTAGATATTAAAAAAAACAGAAGTGAAAAGAATAGTCACAAACTGAAAGATGTTAGTTGAAGATAGGCAGCAGAATTGCATAGCAGCACAGCAAAATTTCACTTAAACTTACTGAGAAAATAGTTAAACCAAATCCAATGGTCCACACGACTGCTGTGTGTATTGTACCAGTTTTGTATGGGTGCTGCAAACTTTCATCATCACAGAAAAACCCACGGTGATATGGTGTAGCCACGAATTTGAACAGGGGAACTGGAATAAACACTGAAACGAAGACAACCACAAGTATATCATTTACAACTAACATAATAGTACTAAACCTAAATAGGAACTTACAGATATGATTGGCAGTGACAATCCAACTGCCACATTGGTTGCAGTTGAGATAGTTGAATCTTTGTAGGGATGCATCAGGCTTTCATCATCGCAAAAAAAACCTCGATGAAAGGGTGCAAATGCAAGTTTCACAGGTACTGGCAAAAACACTGAAAATGCATGCAGCAATAAGACAGTTAACCAGTTGCATGGAACACAGCTGTACCACCTTGGGCTCTGCCACAGACAAGAGTGAGAGTTAGTGCCTGTGGTAGCTCAGGGCCACACAAGAAAGCTACATGAAACAAGAATAGATGCTAAATACCATTTCCAGCTGATGTGTAGTAATTTTTTAGACTATATTACCACACCAACATCACGTTTCCCATTTTTCTGAGACGGTCTGAAGCAGAAAATGGTTTCTGGAAACGACGCGCCAATACTCTTGGCTACCATTCGTGCAACACGAAACACGGTTAAATACAGAACGGCACAGGTGAACATCTGAATACAGATACTTCCTATAATAATTCAGCTCAGTCAAGAGAAAAAGGAAGAAAAGAATGAGGAAGGTAGAGTCACTAAGTATGATACACAATGTTGAGCAGGCCTACTCTGTTGGGTTACATACACGCATCCAATTCCAAGAAACAGTTGAACATCGAAAGACCATTTCAAACTCTTGCTATATGAAAACTTATAGTTGGTTCAGTTATAGTGACGGGTGGTAAATGCAAGATTATGGAAAAGATTGTACGGGATTGAACGGGGACTGGGCCAAGCCTCGTTTAGCACTCCTGATTAGTTTAGCACGTATGCGAAAACACATTTGCGGGGGTCACAAATTATTCTTGATCCCAACTACTCAGGGCAATCGACCATTGCCAATGGCATTGGAAAGAGATGATGGAAGGAATGTCGAAGTAGTCTCTATATAGATTTCATGCAGGCGGAAACACTGGTAGCTTTCGAGAGCAGACGCGATGGATTCTGGGGGGGGGGGGCAGTGACAGGACCTAGAGACTAGACGGGATTATAGTACAGTGTCCAATCCAGGAATGAAGCCACACGACACAACACAGATAATAGGGCAACCTATAATACAGGCAAGAGACCTAAATGTACTGCGTTCAGTATTTACCAAGTTACACTAAATTAAAAGAAACATTGGCCGAAATCTCTCTTTGATTTATGCATATGATGATCTTGCAAAATCCATAAATTGTACAGTATCTTCTTGTTCATTCTATATTCATTGTATATTTGTTCATTACATATTTGTTTCCTACACTTTTTCTCCATGGATTTATGAACTGCTTGAATTTGCATAATGTGCTCGATCTCCACTTGCTGCTTATGTGCAATCCTGCGTGAATTCTTCATTACCATTATGTTATTCAGCGGCTCCTTTAGTTAATCTGCTCTTGGGGTTGCTCTAGTAACGCAGATGGGGTCGTTGTCGTATCAGGTACTATAGATATGTACCCGAAGTAGTTTTAGGTTGTTTAGTATTATGTTTATATTTTTATATGAGGTATGTTTAGGGTTAGGGTTAGGGTTAGTGTTAGGGTTAGGGTACACTTCTGTAGTACAACTCTGGTACACTTTGTGTATACATATATGTACCTCGGGTACATATCTGTAGTACCTGATACGACAACGACCCCTTGAGCTCTATAGTAACTATAGCCCGCGTACGGTTGACGCTGGCGGAAACCGTACGCGGGCTATA